TTGTCTACACCGGTCCACGTCTTCATACAGCCCCTATACAGTGGTACCTCTATATATTCGGTTTTTTGATGATTTTAGCGATATTATTTTCCGGAATTATTTCAAGTTTCGTATTTGGATATAGTAATGACTTGAGGTAAAAATTGCATATACAGGCCCACGTTTTATAACGGTAACTCCCTATATTTACGAATTTCTTTCAAATGGTGGATGGTATCCAATGTTGCTGCTTTTTTAATGCATGTAACAACATGTAAATTAAAAAAGTGAGAGCCTTTGTTGGAATTTGACGTTTACGATTGTGTTTTCAATTGTCTGTATAAATCATAGAACGAGAATTAGATAATGTACATTTATTTATTTATGTTCTTTCATTTCCATAAAAATGCACTTCAAATTTGCGCAGTAAATAGGATACTCAAGGTACGGAAAAGAGCTATGAGAAATGATTCTCAGAGAGAAATGTGAGAATAGAATTCCACACGGAAATTCATTATTGGGCTGATAGCGTTTTTGTCCCGACATTAGAGTAGAAAGCATAACTTTTTTTGAGCGGCCCTGAAATTTCGAATATGAAATTGGTTGATTTTTTAAATCAATACCTTGGCTTTATTAAACGTTTTCAATATTTTCAAATTATACTTTCTTTTTTCCAAAGTTTTTTGCTTTATGTTTGAGGCTCCCACGATTTGTGGCCTATCTCATACTATTATCAATAAATGTCTTCTTATTTTTTTTTTTAAATTTAGAAAAATTTAATATTTTAACTCAAAATTATCTTTATGGCTGTCACGAGCCATATTCCAACTACCAAATAAAACAAACTATCAAACACCACACACAATGGGTTAATTACCAAACCCTTACCACAAATACCCAACCGGTTTGGTAACAACAAAACATTGTGTCGTTTTGTTGTGTTTATGAATGCACTTTCCTGTTGTTGTTGCTATTTTGGATATTTTCAAAAGGGACTTTTTTCGTCTGTTTCATTCTTGGCGCTCCCACTCTCTCTCTGTGTCGGTGCTCTCCTGCTCAATCACTAATTAAAGGTAATTTGTATGCTTAATGCGTCACAGGTTTGAGTTAATATATTCCACAACGCATGCCATCCCAAAAACAAAACAAAAAACACCTGGGACCAAACGTATGAATTACTCTCCCGATCTCTGTCAGGCTTAAAGACTTCACTACAAATTGGTTAAAAGAAGCAATGAAGCAATGCTCTGTTGCCAACAACATCACTTGTTAGAATACAATTTATGAAGGTGTAGAGGGCAGAGGAACAGACGTAGACGGCATACGTAATAAGTAAAGTCAACCATGTACTACTCTGTTATTGATAAAACATCCGGTAAAACATTGGTGGCTTCATTTCATAAAAGTTCCACATAATGGCTCCGCCTACGCCTGCATTGGTCGGTCGAAACTTGTTTTATTTTATTTACATTTTTGTTTTGTTTCAACGTATTTGTTTAATTTTATTTTTTTGGTTTCAAATGTGGTTTTTCATTGTTGTTGTTAGTAGCAAAAAAAAAGTTAATTAGAATTGGTTTCGTCTAATTTCATCTAAAATCTGAATTTATTTAATTGTAGGTTTTTGTTCAATATCTGCTCTACATATTTCGTATATAAAAGCCAAGTTTCAAACAAAACGAAAAAAAATTGTTCGCTAGCAACGATGCGACAAACGACAACGATGACAAACGTCATGAACTGCTATACAGGTGTTTTTTTCTTTTTTTGCATTCTGTCTCAATTTACGCCAGTCTATTTTAATTCATTGGAAATTGGTATGAAAATTGGGAAAATCCTGGTATGTATTTCAGAAAAGGGCTTGGAAACCAAAAGTAGACTGGGAACAAGTAAAAAACAGCTAAGGCCGGGCCGAACTTTTAATACACTCCACCATTTGGAAAAATACTGTTTATGCAGGGGGGAGGGGGGGTTAAAAAAAAAACTGCAACAAAGTGAAACGCCATAATTTTTACATTTTTTCTTTTAAATTTTATTAAATGAATTTTGCTTTCATTTCATGTCGGAAATAGCATGAAATTTTAGAATAAGTTTAGATTTGTTCGAATTGGCCACCATTGGCACGAATTATGGCCTTCAAACGCCCAATGAAACCATCACTCGCTGCTCGAATGTTGCTCTGCGGTATTTTGGCCCATTCCCGGTGAAGTGATTTCTTGATCGGCACTTTGGTATTTTTTAGTGCCAATCTTGCTTTCCAAAATACCCCAGACATAATAATCCAACGGATTGTTATCCGGAGATTTTGGTGGCCATTGTGCGCTGGAAATGAAGCGAGAAACCTCATTTTGTAACTATTCTTGGGTGGCGCGTGCTGAGTCCTGTTGGAAAGTCCAAGGTCTGCGGCCAAAATGTTTGCGTGGCCAAGGCTTCAATACACCCTCCAGTATATTTTCGCGATAATATTCGGCATTTATTCTGATGCCACGTCCGATTAATACGAGCGGAGAGCGACCATCGGCTATTATGGCGGCCCACACCATGACCATGACCGGCGCTTGAGTTCTGGTGGCCAAGGGAAGGTGCACATTTTCAGCTGACCTCTTTGGCAAGTAAACACGATCATTTTGTTTGTTTAGAAACTGCTGGAAAACGAATGTTTTCCCATCGGAGAAAACCAAATCTGGCAGTTCACCACTTTCGGCTAAGCGAAGCAGCTCTTTAGCTCTTTTGAATCTATTTTCTTTCTGTTGCGGTGTAAGTTCTTGCACCTTTTGGCTTTACACCGAGCTCATTTTTCAATATTTGCCGAATGGAATAATGCGATCTGTTCAGCTCACGAGCCATTTTTCGGCCACTGCGACGCGAGTTTCGATCAAGTCGTTTCTTTACTTTTCGAACCAATTCTGCTGATGTTGCTGTTTTCTTCCGTCCACTTCCTTGACGTCGGGCTACGCTACTAGTATCACGGTAACGAGCGATGGTACGAGACACAAGATATTTATTCACCTTTAAATGCTGGAGTGCCCTAACGATAGTAGCCGCTTGTGGTTATCCAGCCAAATTTAAAGATATCACGCCATCACGCTTGAATTCTATTACGAATAACTTTTTTCTGAAAATTCTCACCAAAATACATTTGTACGCTTGTAAACAATTTAATGAGCTGTCACTGTAATAATTTTAACAGCTGTCGGACGAGTGACTTAGATATGACAGAAGTCTGAAGTTGGTTGAAGTTTTTTCATCTCACACTGTATATGGGAGTTATATCCAAATCTTAGTCGACCTCGATAAAATTTGCCAAAGAAATTTCCGAGCTCTATAATAATTGTCGAATACATATTACGAAAGTGAGAGACTTAAACACAAAATCGTATGAAACATGTATATGGGAGCTATATCTGAACCGATTTTCACCAAATTTGATGTACTCGCTTCTATACTGAATTCGTTCAGATGTCATTTAAACTGATATTGGCCTTTTGGTGCACAATTAACCGGCAGCTATATCCAAATCTAAACCGACAATTTGACAGAGGTATTTCTGATCTGCATCTGATATCTGATACCAAACATCATTTTTGTGTGGTGCACATTACGAATGTGGGCTAGACTCAATTCGGTGGGATGCAACAAAATTCAAGTCATTTGGGCTGATATCGACCATTTGGTGCACAAATAACCCGACTCAGAAAGTGGTTCTATTAAGATCCTCACAACCAAATATGGGTCTATCTCGCTTCCTTCTTCATGTTATAAACAAATGCACAAAGACATAATACCCTTACCACTATGTGGTATAGGGTATAAAAACAAAACAAAAACAGCGAAGTACATTTAGTTATGGGATGTGCCTTCCCGTGAACTGGAAATGTCATTTTGAATATCAAAAAAAAAAAAAAAATATATATATATATATATATATATATTTAAAAAAATATATTCAACTTGCGCTATTTGACTCATCTCAAAAATGAACAAAAATATCAAATAAATGAAAACAATTTGTTGGATATATATGTGAAAAATTCTGACAGACAGCGGGCATAGCCCAGGGCTGTATTTCTATAGTTTTACGAAGCTGTTCTATCTCTTTGTTGTACCATGACTGTTGCATGGCCTGATTCAAGGTAGATCTACCTTGACCTGATTGATATTGTTTAAATTTGCTCAGTAATAATTGCAAACTCTCAGTAAATTGTATTGCCAATTCGTTCTCATTTACTGGACTTTCCGCGTTATCAACCAACATGCAGCAAAAATTTTAACAAATGGTTATAAAATATTGAATAATAAAACGCATCCCTTGTTTAAAAAGTTATATTTAATTGCACGTGTCATTTTAACCAAATTCCACTTTTTTGCGGAACTCGAACGCATAAAGAAATGCTATTTTTATAGAGGGTGCTTACAATAATTTTTTTATTTCCTTTTTTTACACATTTTTAGCCCAATATTTAAACATACTGCCGTTAAACTTTTTAAATGTAAGCCCTTTTATAAGGTTCGAAATTATTTTGAATTCTTATTATATCTATTTCATGATTCACTTTTTTGCAATTTTTATTTTTCCAACACTTTTAATACCAACCTCGCTAAAACAGGTAAATTATTTTTTTTTCATTTGATTGACATGGCATTTACGATCAATATAATAACAATTTGCTTTTGCTGCTGTTCAAACATGTGATTGTTGTTGTTGTTTTTGCATTATTATAATATAACAAATGCTTGGCTTAAAGGTCGTTGGAATATTAAAATTCATAACAAATCGCAGTTCAAAATCCCAATGTAAGTACATAAGATACCTACCCCACTATGTGGTTGAAATTAATTACACAATATCAAAAATTGACAGCAAAAAAACTTTTAAAACGGAAACTAATGAAAAATTAAACTTTTCACGAACTTATCATTTGGTATATCAACCAATATCTTTCATTAAGATCTCTTAGCACATTATTTTTTTGTTTTGTTTTTATTTTATCATTCAGTTGTGATTTTTTCACTTTTTTTCTTACATTTATTTTCTTGCAGAATCTTCTTCTCTTTGTGCAATTTTAGTTGCGCGTGTGCGTAAGTGTGTTTTACTAATGATGTTTCATTTCATATATATTTCTTTGTCACAAAAATCTCAATGAATTTATTTCTTCTTTTTTTCACTTTTCGTTCGTTACGCACGTTTTACCGTTTGACGGAGCAACTTTTCACGACTTCACGGTTTCAAGTTTTATTCTCAACTGTCTGAAGTAAATACAAGTGGAGCTACTTTTAAGCAAGCCAACTGAGTCCCACTGCTGCTATACGATACAAAAAAAAAAAATAAAAACACTCTCACTCTCCAATAGAATTATTCTCTGTAACTCTGGTGTGTGGTCTTGCATTGATCATCGTATCAAAATAACGGTTAGCCAAATTCTCTACTCTCATTCAATGGGTGTTTTGTGTTAACAGCTAACAATATCAGTCATTACTCTTTTCACTCATCGTACTCACATGTGACTCACCTGTTGTCAATGACATGGCCAGGTTGGTTGGGTGGTGGAGAATTTAGTAATTGTAAATATTTTTTGAGAGACCATAAAGTCTTCAATTGTGGACTTTAAAGAAAATATTTTTTGGATTTTTCAAGAATATTTTGGAAGTCTTGAATCTTTAATAATACTTTTTGAGATGCTGTAATCCTGGACTTTTTCAGGGATATTTTTAAAGCTATAACGCTAAATTGTTTAAGAATAGTTTTGAAAAATTGTGAAGCCCACAAGCGTGCATTTTTAAGAATATTATTAAGAGACCATGACCTAAAATCGTAGATTTATAAAGAATAGTTTGAGAGACCTTTGAAAGTCTATAATCATTAATATTTAAAAATATAAATATTATTCATAATAATCGTAGTTAAATAAATATACACACATTAATTATTAAGGACTTTTTAAGAATATTTGTTATCTATTTTCTTTGATCTAAAAACGCGTCGCAGTGGCCGAAAAATGGCTCGTGAGCTGAACATATTCCAATATTCCATTCGGAAAATATTGAAAAATGGGCTCGGGGTAAAGCCATTAAAATTCCAAAAAGTGCAAGAACACCGCAACAGAAAGAAAATAGACTCAAAAGAGCTAAAGAGTTGTTTCGCCTGGCCGAAAGTGGTGAACTGTCGAATTTGATTTTCTCCGATGAGAAAACATTCGTTGTCCAGCAGTATGTAAACATACAAAATGATCGTGTTCACTTGTCAAAGAGGTCAGCTGAAAATGTGCACCTTCGGTGTGGGCCGTCATAACAGCCGATGGTCGCTCTCCGCTCGTATCAATCGACCGTGGCATCGGAATAAATGCCGAATATTATCGCGAAAATATTCTGGAGGGTGTATTAAAGCCACGGACACGCAAACATTTTGGCCGCAGACCTTGGACATTCCATCGCACTCAGCACGCGTCACCCAAGAATGGTTACAAAATGAGGTTGCTCGCTTCATTTCCAGCGCACAATGACCACCAAAATCGCCGGATACCAATCCGTTGGACTATTTTGTCTGGAGCACTTTAAAAATACCAATGTGTCGATCACCTCAAGCAAGCGCTTCGCCGGGAATGGGCCAAAATACCACAGAGTAACATTCGGGCAGCGTGTGACGGTTTCATTGGCCGTTTGAAGGCTATAATTCGTGCCAAAGGTGACCAATACGAACAAATCTAAGCTTGTTCTAAGATTTGATGCCATTTCCGACATTTTTGCTTTCATTTAATAAAATTTAAAAGAATAAATGTAAAAATTATGGGTCTAAAATGTATTTTTCGAGGTGTTACAAAGGGAGTGACAAACTCAATACTATGGTGGAGAACATACAAAATATTCGAGACCATGCCAATGCACTTTTTAGGAAACTTTTGAGTATCGTTAATAGGATATTGATATTAGCTTACATCAATTTGTATCGTATTTTTATAATTTTAAATGTGAGACCTTTGATTTAGGTGGCCAATTTTCTAACTTGAATATCCAACATTCTGACTCGACTGAAATTCTTATCCGAACACATCAGTCTTTGTATTCAATGTTTGTTTGTACATTTTCACATAGTAATGTTAATACATAATATTGGAATAAAGGATCATAACCTACCTCAAGTATTGCATGTGTGTGGTCCTTCATTTCATTTTGATGCGTTTTGATTGAAATGTTGTTGATATAAAAAATGACCAAATTTATGCTGATATAAAATTGTATCCGAAATATGCATGTGTATATTGAACATTTCTCTAGAATGATTGAAATTAATATGAAAAGTGAATATAAATTTAATTACCTACCCATAATCCGGAAACGTCGTGGGTGTATAACTCCAGATTGGTTTCAATCATAATTACGAAGGCGAACTATCAACTTTAAGGCTGTTTTCTGCTACTGCCTTACTTATAAAAGCCCTTGGCTCTGCAACTGATGCTTATTTTGAAGTAGTACTGACTCGCTTCGTCAGATACACTCGCTAGTAGTAGCCAGGGAAAGTGTATATCTTATAAGTAAATAAGTAATGGATTTGTTCGCCTCCGAATTTTGTATCCAACGGCTATTCAATGACTGTCGCCTGTTACGCATCCAATTACCTATAGTTTGGCCTCACCACTAGTGTATAATTCAGAATTTTCGGAAGCCAATATATTTTTTGGTTCAGCATACTCTATAAAAATCTCTTAAATTAGATTAATTTAAAATAAAAACCGATTTAAGCACAGATAAGTTATTTACGTTTAGGTCACACTCAACCGGAAATGTTACTACGCCTAATTTTGGCGCCAAATCAGTGGATACGTTTGCGTAGACTATTGCAACGATAATCGGGTTAAATACGATACTATCCGCAATAACACATTATAAGAAAATATTCAGCTGACTTGCTGCATGTACTTAACGTTGCATAGGCCACTAACAGGCATTTGACAAGTGCAGTTTCCCCACATAAGCCTGGATAATAATGCAATATATGAAATTATTTACACTGATGTTAAAGTGGAAATTGTTTCCTTAAATTTATTATTTAAAGCGGAAGAAAAACATTTTTTGTAAGCCGTACTTTCATTAAATTTCCAAATGCTTTACTCTAGCCTCTACCATTAATGCATCAAAAAGTCGATAACACCAAAATCGATTACTCAACTCGCCATCAACAATCTTTACTTGCTGGCCATAGTCGATCTAGCCATCCCTTACACTTATTTACGGGCAAAATAAATACAAGAAAAAACATATTATTAACAAGAAAATCAGTTGAAAAATTGCTTTTTGCCATAAAATTTGGCATCAGCTTTACTTAATACAATTAAATTGTTATTAATATTTAAGCTTAGAAGCAATAAAATAGTCGTGTGCAAAATCAAACAAGCAGAGTAATGTTCTGACAGTGTTTCTGGCAGCAGTGAAGTGAATGAAAAAGAAAATTGTTTAAAAAGAACAGAAAGAAAGTGAAGAAAAGCAAAGAAAATATAATATAACAACACAGATTTATTAAATATTTGTTAATATAAACACTTTTGAGTGATTGGTCATGGGCGAACATACGAAAAGTGCCTCTACAGCAGCTCAAAGTGCAGCGGTCCTAGCGGCAGAGGCAGAATTGCACCAGCAGCAGCTACAACAACAACAGCAGCAGCATCATCATCAGGCGACTACAAGTGGGAGTGCTGGCTTAACTTCCTCGGCAGCAGCAGCAGCGGATGCAATCAGAAGTAATGCATTAACGGCCAAGGATGCGCGAGAATTACAAGAAATACGCAATTTATTATGGGGCCCAAATATACGGCTGGATGTGTTTCGACGTTGGTCTCAAGGTGGGTGTGGGTATACGAAAAAATAACCATCATCATCATTCTTCTTGTGGCATTTTCGTGAAATTTTATGCATAAAATTGAAAGTGTTTTGATGCCATCGGTATTCTAAAATACCCTATCCCCCCACCCTTCCCTTCCCACTGGAGGTGATGTCAAAATATACTCATTGACACCTGCGGTTACATTGTATTTATTACCCTCACTCCTTCGTACCTTCATTTATGGCTTGCAATTGAAACTTGTGGTGTACTTTTGTTTTCATTTCGATTTTATGGAAGTGGGGGGTTATACGAGGAGGTTGGATATTGTTGTTATTTTTAATTTTTTTTTTTTTTTTGTTTAAAAATAATTGAAATTCCATGCAAGATGAGTCATATGGCATAATGATGCCAATGCAATTTTTCTGCCCGTTTCCACCACCTCCCCATATGTGAATGTTATTTTGTTGTGTTTAAGTGTGTGCGCCCTAGAAATTGACCATATTGCCGCTATTTTGTAATTAATATTACCGGCATAAATTGTTTTTGAATTAAAATACCTCTATACTTTGTTCCATAAATTAATATTTTTAGGAAATGTGTACCGGCGGCTTATAAATTCAAATTTTGGATTTTCAAGGTTTGGAACACCCATTCTTTAAAGCATTTTAAATGTATTTTGCCCCTTTTGTTATAGCCCTCATACAGATTATTTGTATATATTATATTTTGTAATCCTAATGGGTATAAGACCTTATCGAAAATTACAGTCAGTACAGTATATTCCCCATTTTGACATAGCCCCCATATAGAGATACTGACTGGAGACATAAGCCATTTTTATGTAAATAGGCTGCAAGTTGATCTTTGGTGATTCCAAGTCCGTCATCAAAGTAATTACCTATAAGTTTTATGGAATAGTTGCTGCGATGTGTGAAACTTTTTTCCAACTGACTATTCCCTTCTTTGTTATTAAAATACATATTATTCCAAAATACTCTTAACTCATTTAAATTATTATTTTTTTCATTTTAATTTTTTTTTAATAAATGTCTATCTTTCTCTCTCTTTTTTGACTAGGTTTTGAATTTAGTGATGTTGAACCTTCAGCTTTGGTACAAAAGCAAGGTGGTCCATGTGCTGTGATTGCTCCCGTGCAAGCCTACATTCTAAAGATCCTTATTATGGATACACCTGGTCATTTTCTAAAGGATGTAAGTACACACACACAAATATGACTTGCCAACAGCTGATCTGATTAACAATTCATTCTATTTTTTTTTCAGTTAACACCCGATAAATGTAAAAGTCTACTAATACAAGCCCTCTGTACCATATTAAGTAAATGTAAAGCACAACGCTTGCGTTTAGTTACCTTACCTGTTGATCAGTGTTCCGAAGCCAAAGAAACGCCAGCAGCAACGGATGTAGACAATGATATATGTGATGATGCGGCCAATTTAAATACAATTGATCCAGCAGCAGCGGCATCATCAGCTGGTGGTGGTTCTGATTGTGCCGGTGCTTTATCATCCGCATGTCTCACAGCAGCGGCCGATGAAGAAGTTTCACCCGAAGAATACCACAAACGCCTACAAGTTATACATTTCAATAGCATTGAGGAGCTGGAAAGATATTATACGCATAATTTCGATGTATTATCTGCCAAATATGGGGTTTTACTATTCATGTATACGGTGTTGTTGACCAAAGGCATTGAGAATGTCAATTCAGAGCTATTGGATACATCCGAGCCTTTAATACACAATACCTATGGTTATGGGTCACAGGCTTTGATAAATCTCATGTTGACTGGACGTGCTGTGGCCCATGTTTGGGATAACGATCAAGATGTGGGCGGTTTGAAGCTGCGCGGTATTGATGAACAAAGTGATATAGGTTTCATTACATTGATGGAACAAATGCGTTACTGTACCGTGGGTTCTTTCTACAAAAATCCACGTAATCCTGTTTGGGTTATGGGTTCGGAAACTCATTTAACTGGTGGGTATAAATATACCAATTTTTACAACAAATGGTAATTTTTTTTTAATTTCTTTATTTTGCAGTGTTATTTAGCAATGAAAAAAGACTCGTCTCACCAGAAACCCCATCGGAAATAGCCCGGCGTGTCTTTAAGTCATATGATCCAGATGGTAATAATTTTATACCCACACCAGTTTTGCAAGATGTCTTGGCTGCCTTGGATTTAGTCAGTGAGGCTGAATAGTAAGTTTATGAGATAATTTTATGGAACTTGAGACAAACGATTTTATTGTCTTTTAGTGTGGAGATAATGCAAAGACGCTTAGATCCCGAAGGTTTGGGTATAATATTACTAAATGCATTTATGGATGAATTTTTCCCCCAAGAGAAACGTTCAACACCCGACACCTTTGATTTGATGCATTATAATGGTATACCAGGGTCAAATGAGGGCAATAAGGTGTGTAGACCTGTCCATTGAGGGGGACTATCTTTAAACATGTATTTCTTTTTGTCTTCCTTTTATAGGTTCGTTATTGTAAAGGTTCTGCCATACTATTGGAAACTGATTTGAAATCAGTTTTTGTATCCAATCCATTAATGACATGTTTACAAACAAAATGGCCAAATATTGAAATGAATTGGCATGACATGAGAATACCATCAATGAATTGACCACATCATTGAAATGAGAATTAAGTAGCCTATCAAAGATTCTAAAAAAGGAAATAACAGAAGAGTACATATAAAGAGGATATAACTAAATAAACATCGCTATACTACTACCACTACTCGAGGCCTATATACAAATACACACACACATACAATTCTAGTTGAAGATAAGTTTGATTGTGAGGAAATCTGGAAACCAGAACAAAAACCAATTCATCAATACAACAACAAAACCAATAAATAATACCATAAAAAGCAAATCCAGCAAACAAATGGAAAACATGAAAAATACAAAAAAAAAATGATGATTTATGTAGTACTTGGAATTAGTACGTTTTTATGATTTATAGCTTTACATACATAGATATTTTCCCCGCCACAAAAACAAACACTTCCACACTTTGGCCAAAAAGCAAAAGTAATGTTCAACAAAATTGGGCATGTTCTCATTACAACTGCATAGAAACTGTACTACACACAAAATTGTAATTTTAAATAACATATAAACCCAACCTAGGACAGTGGGTAACAGATATGGGAAATGGAAATATGTGTCAAGGAGTATAACAGGCTCACATCGGCCCCCATTGGCTATTCCTTGAAGTGCCATTGATGGCTTTATATCGTTTTCAGTTTGTTGAAGGTTCTATAAAGCACATATCCTGATATTGTGTTCTTGATTTGTTAGACACTGTCTTTAGGAAACAAAATAGAAAGTAGCTGCATCAAAAGAAAAAACTTTATATCCCATCAAATAATATACCCCTTTACAAAATATTCCCCCAACTCTTTATTAGAAGAATAAAATTTCATTTTGAGAAACAAAAGTAAACACAAAACTAACAAAACCACTTCCAAATTTAAACATACATTTTAAAACTTAGAGTATTGTAACTCGAAAACAAAACAAAAAAAAAAAACTGAATTTGAATACCCGCCATTATCATTAACAGATTATATATACTTTAACTATTAGGTATATATAAATCTAGATTTGTAAACAAAAAACAAATATGTATCTATTATTATTATTATTAGTGATTATAATTTGTTGTTAATTAATTGACAAAACAAAGAAACAAAAACTGAAAACTAAGTAAAAAACAAAAGTAATAAACACACCCCTAAAGTATTTAATTATAAGCTGTTTGCTATTTTTTTTCATTTTGGATTTTCAAAAATGGTTTTCTCATTTTTTTTTTTGTAATGTATATTTATTTGTAAAATCTAAAACGAACAACAAACAAAATACCACAAAACTAAACAAAGAGCTCTCACACCAATTAATTAATAAAATGAAGAAAACAATTATATATTAAAAATGTCATTAAAACAGTTCAGATTTACTTTAGCACTTTAACAAAAGATTAAACAAAAAAAAGAAGAAAACAAAAAATGAAACTAATAAAAGAACAAACAAAAAGGTAACATCTAAAATAAGAAAACTTAACAAAACTCAAGTTTGTTTTACTACGAAATAGTGATTTGAATTTTCTAAATTTGTGTGAAACAAAGATTTGCGGTACTTACCTGGGTCTTTTTCCAGTTTGGCTGCATTGAATTTCCTCTCTTGATTTTGGAAATAAAAACAAGATTGCGATGTACGATTCAATTTTTCTGATTCGCTTTTCGACTTTCCATTGGGACTCCGATCGGGTTCAATGCTTGACAAGACATTGGCGAACGCTTTGACAGACTAAAGGCCAAATCAGAATGGACGCGTAACGCGTTTTTTATATTACGTATAGTTGATAAAACAAAAACTTGGGCTGGAAAGTCGATTCGTGATCTCAAAGGGAATTTTGAGCCGTGCTCTGAATTGGCGGTTTATGGAGTCTTTGGATTTAGTAAAATTATTTTTCTAATACTTAAGGAAAAATATGATTTCAATTTTTCAAATATGATTTTTTTGCCAATGGAGTCGATTATGGGTTAATGCTCCAATTGAAGGGGAATTCCGTTGTTGGTGTAGTAGCAGTTTGTATTCTGCTAATCTGGTTTAAGCTACAGGTTTAAAAATTCGGCTATTTTTACGGGGTGTAGCCAGAGATCTTCTGCAGTGAGTTGGGTAGGTTTGGCTGTGCAATTAAAAAGGTGCAGCGTACTGTGTGGGCCTGTATCACACGCCGGACCGATGTCAGGCACATCTTCATAAATCGTGGCCAATACGAATTGAGACGACTACACCATCCTGAACGTAATTGGTCCAAAACTACCATGGTTTGTCTAGGCAGCTGGCGTTCTTCAGCTACAAATGGACTCCGAGGATGGCACTCATCCTGTAATTGCTGATAGCATCTGCGACTGCATCGGTATGAATGCCATTATGACCTGCATAGGCTTCTTGATCTAGAGGTTCTTTCTTATAGCGTTGGACCTGACACGCCTGGGTGGGGGGAGTTGTATCCACCATGGTGGATATGATTATGCTGACGTAAGGGAAGGACTTCCGCCTCCTTATGTAGATGGTCCACTGGTGTCATGAGGAGGCACCCTGTCCCAGCATTCTAGCAGATCTGGATGTGCTTTTACTGCGTAGCATTAGTATTCACAGACCGCTGGTGTCGCACAGCTGAACACAGACCGACCTATCGCGTTATAAGAGGTCAACAAGGTTTCCTTGTCCGCACCGCAAGTGCTGCAGGCTAGCGCCTTGAGGACCTTGTTCCTACTTTTCATTTTGCAGCAGATAGCTGTGGCTTGCGCGGACGACTTGAACATGCTGTCGAATGTGACCCCTAGAATCTTGGGGTAGTTCGTGGTCGGTATTAAATTTCCCTTTACCCGCACATTCAGATGTGTTCTCAACAGGTATATAGTGAGCGACTGAAGCTTTGATGATGTTTCCGAAAATCTTTCAGCTACCCGAACATCAGAAGGGTTGGGCAGTCCTCTGAAGCGACAGCTGGTGAATTTCCTGGACTCTGGTCAGTGAGCTTTCCCATGGTTAAGGAAAGTGCGGCGTTCAGATGTTATGAGACGATTATCGGGAGATGGTCTGAGGCAAGAAAATGACGGGTTGTCAAGTCACTTCATTTATCAGACCGGGTGAAACTATGTTTAAGTCTGGCAAACTGTGACACTCTCCACTTATTCGGGTGGGGGCATTCTCGTTAACCGTGCAGAATGTGGAGCTGACAATTTTCTCTGTCAGCGCTGATTCCCTCTGGTCATTACCTATGACGGAATGCCACAAGCCATGGTGGGCATTAAAATCCCCTATTACCACGCGGTTATTGGCTACCAACAATGGTTTAATATCGGTTCACAGCTATTAATCGGCGGGATATACTGACTACTACCCCCATACATTCCATGTATCACACGTGTTCCTAATTAACGTAAATTCACTGGTTATATCTGAAGATCTGTGGCGCGCTCTATCCCTTTTTTTTACATTACGCTTCATACTGTAAAGCTCCGATCGGATTCCAATGTTCTCGGAATTATTTATTTTTTTCCTCTTTTCTGCAGATGTTTGTATTTTTTCTTTTAATTTCATTCTATTGCAATTTTTGATATTCTCCCTTTGGTGCTCCCAAAGCATCCGAAACAGCAACTTTTGTACTTTGCATTAAATATTGTAACGCCCTGTTTGCTTTCCAATTTTTCGGGATTTCTTCAATATGATCTGTTTCCGCCTTTTTCTGCCGATGTTTCTGATTTTTTTTTATTTCATTTTACTGCAAATTTTTTTCGTAAATTCTTTCATTTCTCCATTAAATACCAATACGATTTCCTTTCAGTTTCCTCTGAATTGAGAAGACATCCTCCTTTACCTTTCCATCAGCGGTAATACATTTCAGTTTATTTCATCCATTATTGTATCAATTCATTCATAAATAATTTTTATGGTTTAAAGATCTGTATATATGTGGTCTTAAAGTCTAATGCTAAAACATTCAAGTTACTTAAATCATAGTATAGTATATTTAATTAAGCATAGTTTTCTTTTGCTAACAAAACAAATTTGAAGTTTTGCGATTTATTTTACTTCTAATGTTCGCTGGAAAGCCGCTAAAGCCATAGCTTTAAGTTTGTCACTAGTAACAGGAATATTACGAGAAATGGGACACTCTCTGGCTGGTAGGCCGCACAATTGCCGGCGCAGTTTTAGATCTTGTCGGGCACTCAATGCCCTGCTATTCAAGCCACATGCATTGGCAATCAGATTGTTGCGTTCCATTTGCAACTTACGTTGAGCCACTTGCATACAAGCCAATGGAGGTAAGCTATCAATGTTTATGATCTCCTCTTTTGGAGGTTTAATTTCTAGTTTTTCCTCTTTCGGCTTGATGTCTGAAGTGCTGTCATCATTCTCCGCAGGGGTCTGGGAATCTTCGTCCAGTGTGGATAATGATGAAACTTCATCTTTGATTTCAGATTTAATTGCCGCTTCCTCCTTGAGTTCTGTCTTGATGCTGTTTTCCTCTTTCATTTCTTCTTCCAACTGTTGTTTGGCATTGTTGAGCAATTGTTTGGCATATTCCTCGCCAGCCATACGCATAGATATGCCAATATCCAAAATAATGCGATGTGGTTGCCATTTTTGTTTGGCTGTGGTTGTGGGACATGAAGGCAAACGTTTAGTTTCAGCAATCAAAGATGACCAGTCCACACCCAAAGCATCGCCAACACCTAAATTAAATATTAAGAAATCAATTGGTAACTCCACAATATGTTTTATTTACAACTTACCCTTGGCCGCCCTTTCCTCTTCCAATTCTCCATCGGATATTTCTTCAAAGTCCATAATTTCATCATCTTCTCCCTTTTCCTCTGCTGCTTCCTTGTCAACGATTTTAGTTTGTGAATTTGAGTCTTCATTATCAAGTTTTGCTTTCTTTTCAGTTTTGTTTAAAATATCATCGTCACTGTCACTAATTTCACTTAACTCCCCGGATTTCTTCTCCTTTTCGGTTGGTGTCTCTCCGGGCACTTGTTGTTCAGTTTGTTCTGGTGCCACTTCGGCAGCATTATTGCCCGTTGCTGCCTTATCTTCAGTTTCTCCTACAATCTCTCCAGCTTCGGGCTTATCATCACTTCCTTGGCCAGGTCTAGCTGCCCCAGCCGATTGACCCAAAATGCTGGGATTTGTGGTACCACTAGCAGCACTTTGAGCAGCAGCCTTGGCAGCTGCCACAGCAGTATTTGCTGCGGCCAATGCTGCCTGTTGCTTTTTCAAAATATTCGGATTAGTGTAGGTCATATTACGTTTATTTGGGAAACGTGGTGAACCCTCATGGAATCCGCCACCGGATGTTGGCAAACTTAGCAAAGCTGGTGGATGATGAGCTCTAAAACCATGGATACCTGGTACACGTTCACCATGTATTATGTGGCCACCTCGGCGATAGCCTCCTCGTCCACCACGCTCACTACGTGGATGATGCATCATGGGGCCAGGTGGACCTCGAGAATAGCTAGGAGGTCCCGATGGTTCTTCTCGCTCGCGCCAGTCCCAAGGTCTTCCGCCGGGTGCCAGTTTTTCGCGTGACTCCGGCAAATCACGTTTGTCATGTTCCAACCAGGCATCACGGCTTGATTCTGGTTTCTTGGAAACTTCAATTTGTCCCTCTTCAGCATCCCAATCGGTTTCGGATTGTGGTCTTTGTTCGCGAACCGAGGGTGGAGGAATTTTTCCAGGCAAAACAGAGCCAGTACCCCTCTTCGGTCCACCAAAACCACGTCCCGATGAATGAGATGATGGGCCTGGCTCATCGTTGGGCCACTCGCGTGGACTTCCCACCCATTCTTTGCGCTTCCAATCTGATCCAGGGCGTCCAGCATAGCCCCGCTCACGCTCCCTGGGAGGTGGTAAACGATCACGTTCTTCTGGATACAAATGTTCCGGTTCCATTTCACGATAGTCACGAGGGTCATGCATTTCTCGTGCTCTTATTTCTCGTTCCGAAAGCCATGGTTCACGGCCACCTCCGCGTCCTTCCTCTATGAAGGGTCTCTTGTAGGCGCGTTCACGATCATCTTCAGGATATATATCACGGGGATCGGTACGCATGCGACTTCCACTTGATCCAGGATATTCCGAGGGACTCATTTCGCGGCGACGTGCAAGGTATTCACGTTCACGCAACAACTCTTCACGTTCCAAAATGGCGCGGCGCTCACTTTCTGTGGAAAAGAACAAGATTTTAAAAAATTATGTTTGCCTAAATATTGAGGCAATACTTACCCTCATCATAATCGTCTCCACGATGCTTGCGCCCATAGCCATGATCATAGGGATCAATATCTCGTTTGGTTCTTTCCAGCGAACGATCGCGTGGCTCAAAACCACGACCACCCATATCACGTTCCGGACCCCGGGCCAACAACCGTTCACTCATAGGCTTGCCATACTTCTCTTCCTCCTCCCGACGTAATTTTTCACGTGCCAAACGTTCACGCTCCCTTTGACGTTCCTGGCATCTGGCCAATGCCTCGGCCCTTTCCTTATCACGTGCAGCTTCACGTTCGCGTCTTTCTCGTTCTCTGGCCATATCTTCGTGGCGCATCTTCTCGTGTCGCAAACGTTCACGTTCAGCGGATGGTGTGCGGTCACGAGTACGCGTCTGAATTATAATCTTCTCCCGCGACATTAGCTGGTGATGTACCCGCGGTGGGGTCTTCTGTCTATTAACATCCTGGTGTATGCGTATTTTTGTAATTTTGGTAGGCGAACGACTGCTGCGATGATGATGCTCACGTTCACGCTCCCGCATAGCACGATGTTTTTCCTTTTCCCGTTCACGCCGCTCCTTACTGGCTGCACGCAGATGTTTACGTTCGGCCAATTTCTTCAATTTAGCTTGCGTGGCCGGTGACAATGCCCGATGGGAATGACCACTTAAGGCTGCCGCAGCGGCTGCAGCTTTTTTCTTCAACTTTGCCTCTTTGAGTTTACGTTTCAGGTGATTGCGTTTGGCTTCCAATTTCTTTTGGCAACGACGCTCCTTCTCCCTCTTGTGGCGTTCATCTCCGCTCGAACTGCTGGAACGCCTGAGGCCCGGTTGACGAGATTTCTTGTGGCGATGCCTACGCTCATCTTCCGAGCTGTATGAACTAGAGGAACCGGACTCACTATCGCTGCTACTGCTGCTGCTTTCACTGCTCGACTCGGCAGCTTTTCGGGCCTTTTTATATCTACGCAATGCTTCCTTTGATTTCTTGTCCATTTCTAATTAATTAAAATAAAATTTTAATATTTGATACTTTTTGCGTTGCTTTGTAACCGATAAGACAACAAAGCCGGATGATTTGTTTTCGACTGCGGCAATTCTTTAAAACATGGGCAACGGCCTGCGGCGGCTAAAATTGGTCGCAGCAGAAAAAAATGGAAAAAAAATACATTATAAAACAATTAATAATATAAATACATAATTTTTTATAATAAATTAACTTACTTAATAAATTTTTTACGAAGACTTGTCCAATCACTGGCACCTCGCTTATAACTCCGTGTGGGTGATCACATGTTGTACCACGGGGGTTTATTACTTACGGTCTTTATACAAATATGCTCAGAATGTGATACCAAAGCAGTTAAATTAAATTCCTAAGCTGTAAAATTAATAAATTTTTAAATTATTATTGTTCAAATAATATTTACCGCCATTTTGGATTTTTTCCAACCAATTTAAAAACGTTCCAAAAATACTAACACGAAAAGGCAAAAGGAAATATCGTTGAAAAACAAGTACAAAACAAAATCATCGACATATTTTGTTTACGAATGAGGGTGATGCATAATGATGGACTAAATGCTTTGTTTACGTACACGATATGAAGAAATGCCATATGAAAAAGTGGGATATATAGGCCGGAGAATTCGACTGAAATGATAACTGGAAAAATAAATGTTTTTTGTCATAAAAAAAAGATTTGTGTCGTTTCAGTGGCTTTTTAAACACTTCCAATTTTATTCAATTAATATAGGGAACTGTAATTCTATGTTTTATCATCAGACAACAAAGTTGGCAATCACTGCGAAACGATAACTCGAGTTGTTGTTAGTCACCGCCGTCTTTAAATTTATATTCAAACTATAGATATCTTTGGAAAATTATAGTTTTCACTATTGCTCTGTTCCACAACTTTAAAAGTTTAAAACAAATTAAAACTTTTCACTGCAGTTATAGATTTTTTAGGTGTGGACATGGTACAATAAAAATGTAAGGCAAAGCTTTCAGTTGATTGGAAGAATCCTACACTGCAGGGCGCGCATTGGATGTATTAACCAGTTTTGCCATGGAATTGAAAGAATGAAGTGTTTGAACCGTATTTTTGAAAGAAGAATACAATCATTTCATTCATTTTTCGAGCTATTAAACTCATTTTAGAAATAAGGGAAAATATGAAAAAATATATAAAAAAACTTGTTGCATATTATTTTAAATAATTCTGGCAGGAAGCGGACAAACTTCATGGCTGTATATCTGAAATTTTACGAAGCTGTTCTACCTCATTATTATTAGCATCTTGTACGTATTCCTGTACTTTTTACCATTACCGCACTTTATAAGCCTTGTGTTTGAGATCATTGTCTTGATAAAAATAATAATCTTCACCAAGGTGGAGCCTTTCCTTACACAGTGGTAAAATTTCTTTCGACATGTTAAGGTACATAGTCTGATCCATAATACCCTCAATTAAACTCAATGCACCAGATCCAGAGGCTGAAAATGAACCCCACATCTATTGGCCCACCACCTTGCTTCACTGTAGGCTTCATATTTTTGGCAAGGAGCCCTTCATCTGCCTTTCTCCATACATAAGGTTAGCCATCTATACCAAAAAGGTTGAATTTGCTTTCTTCCGTGAACAGCACATTCTTCCAAAATGAAAAACCTTTTTATATGTGCTCCTTGGCAAATCGCAATATTACTCCTTGATTTCGCTTGCTGATTAAAGGTTTATGTCTACCTCTTCTTCCATTGTAATTCGACCTATGCAGTATATTTCTTATAGTTTGAGGCAACATACTTTTCCCAAATCCTTTTCAGCAATTTTTGCGAGCTTCGGTGCACCCAAAAATGGATCCTTTCTCATCACTCAGGATGAATATTTTATTATTTGCCGTTTTTGACTAGTTTTCTACACATCCATCTGCTTTGAACCGTTTTATGATTTACTGAACTGTAGATCGTCTTCTATTAGTAATCTCAGATATCTTACTTAGCGATTTATGGATTTTGTAATGTTTAATTACTAAATTTCTCATTTCAGCAATGGTTTGTCCTCGTCTTCCCATTTCTTATTTTTTTAATATTTACGTCAGTAAATTACACAACACATGGAAAATTGTGATAAATAAGCTTTTAGGGACTTCCCCAAATACATTTTCCAACATCCGCGTGAAGTTGGACGCAGTTCGAAACAGGGTTGCCGTACGAGTTTAGCTTTTGCTTAGAAATTTGGTGAGTTTTAGAAAAAAATGCCATTATTTTGTTAAATAAATAAAAACTGTAAACTTTTGTTCTACGACTAGTAGTAGTACCCCATACACTAATAAGAAAATATAGGTTTCTTCTGGTAGTGAATTTGATAACAATCATATATTGCATGAAAGAAAATTGTTTGCTACGAGTTTCGCTTGGAGCTATGGTACATCAAAACCAAAAAATAATAATTCAATTTCACCACATCAATGTCACAACGATGTGATGTGACATTTTGATGAAATGGCCAAAAGTACAACCTTCCCAATTATAAATGCTTAATGATTTAACACATTTAACGGATCTCACACCAATCGCATTGACATAATGTCTGAAAATATACTATTTCCGAGAAAATGTGTTAGATACGAAGGAAGAAAATACAAAATCAAATATTTTCCCAATATTTAACACTTTGCCCATCAATTTATTGTTGAATTCAAGGTCATGCAAATCAAGTATTGGCCAAAATTTCTCATTGGAAATTTCGCAACATGCCGCACAGTTTTGCATGCAATGCCATTTGTCAATTTAATAAACAAAATGTTGTGACAAATTATTGAATGGCTACGATAGATGGAAACTGAATTAAATTCAATGAGCGGCGGGTCCATGAAATCGCCAATGTCACATAGAAACCTTCATGCTCCATTGCGGGCAATGGTCAACACGAGCCACATCACCATCAGACCGGGCAATTTTAGTCAATTGCGTTGTAGGTACATGATGGTGCACAGATAGTTTTTCGGTGGTGTTGTTGGAAATCCGTTTTGCGGCACAGAACCAAGAATCGATCAATAATTGCAATTTCACAGCAGTAACATTTTATTTGCAATGACAAGTTGTTTTTCTTTTTTAAGTTTTCACGTGAAATCATTCGTTTGTTACGTGATTTGGGAATGTTTTGCATTTTAGAAAGGGATAAATTAGGTCATTCCTTTTACAACAAAGGTCTATCAAAATGGATCTTTTAAATAAGGAAATATTCACAAGACGGTATTTGTGGAGAGTCGTGTTAAGGTGCAAGTACATAAAAAGCTTGAAGTCATGGCTAGGCATATTAATGCCAAATTATAATGGAAAACGACGGTAGGATTTTAGTGCGGCTATGTTATCCCTTTATGAAATGTCACAAAATATGCCGGTATTTGTGGAGAGTCGTGTTAAGGTGCAAGTACATAAAAAGCTTGAAGTCATGGCTAGGCATATTAATGCCAAATTATAATGGAAAACGACGGTAGGATTTTAGTGCGGCTATGTTATCCCTTTATGAAATGTCACAAAATATGCCTAGCCATGACTTCAAGCTTCTTATTTACTTACACCCTTAAGTCTTTGGTGTACATGAGAAAATTATCTTTATAACATTTACAGTAGTTCCAAGCCAAAATCGTACACTTAGCAAGCAATTTTCTTTCATGCAATATATGATAGTTATCAAAATCACTACCAGAAGAAACCCATATTTTTTATTAGTGTAATGGGTACTAGAACTAGCCGTAGAACACACCTTTACTGTTTTTATTTATTAAAGAAAATGATGACATTTATTCTAAAACTCACCAAATTTCTATGCAAAAGCTAAAGTCGTACAGCTTACATTTATGCGGCAACCGTATTTCGAACTGCGTCCAACTTCACGCGATTGTTGGAAAATACATTTGGGGAAGTCCCTAAAAGCTAATTTATCACAAATTTCCACGTGATGTGTAATTTACTAACGTAAATATTAGAAATAAAAAATGGGAAGACAACGAGGACAAACCATTGTTGAAGTGAGAAATTACGTAATTAAACAATACAAAAACCATAAATCGCTAAGTGAGATATCTGAGATTGTTAATAGAAGCCGATCTACAGTTCAGTACATCCTAAAACGGTTCAAAGCAGATAGATGTGTAAAAAATAAGTCAAAAACGGCAAATAATAAAATATTTACCTTGAGTGATGAGAAGTATTTTTTACGGCAGATCAAAAAGGTTCCATGTTTGAGTGCACCGAAGCTTGCAAAAATTGCTGAAAAGAATTTGGGAAAAGTATGTTGCCCTCAAACAATAAGATATACACTGCATAAGTCGAATTACAATGGAAGAAGAGGTAGATATAAACCTCTAATCAGCAAGCGAAATCAAGAAGTAAGATTGCGATTTGCCAAAGAGCACATATCAATAGATTTTTCATTTTGGACGAGAGCAAATTTAACCTTTTTGGTTCAGGTGGCCAACCTTATGTATGGAGAAAGGCAAATGAAGCGCTACTTGCCAAAAAATATTAAGCCTACAGTGAAGCACGGTGGTGGGTCAGTAATGGTGTGGAGGTAAATTTTCAGCCTCTGAACCTGGTGTATTGCATTTTATTGAGAGTATTATGGATCAGACTATGTGCCTTAGCATTTTAAAAGAAAGTTTGCCACTCTGTAAGAAAAAGCTCGGCGAAGATTAATATTTTTATCAAGACAATGATCTGAAACACAAGGCTTATAAAGTGCGGTTATGGCTGCTATATAATTTTCCCCACTTCATGGATACACCAGCCCAGAGTCAAGACATAAACTCCATAGAGAATATGGAAAAATCCGCCAGCATACCATATTTTACAAAGAAGACTTGAAGAAAGCTTTGTTGGAAGAATGGCAAAAGTTGAACCTAGCATTTGCGAAAAAATATGTTAAAAGTAGGCCAAATAGGCTACAAATGGTAAAAATGTAAGGGAATATATACAAAATATGAATGTTTAACTTATCCCATAGGCACGATTTTTGAAAAAAAATCGTTCCATCCTTTCCTCATACTTGATCTTGTGTTGGTTGAAATATTGGGATGTGCGAAATTTGAAGA